GTCACACACAGGGAGAGTTGGGACCTCCGGGGTTCCCGGGCCTTAATGGAGATCCGGGTCCCAAAGGGGACAAGGTACGACACACGTTTGCTTAACAAAGTGCCAGAAGTACATCTCCATGATAATGTATAACTCTTGAAAGACAGCCTGATTTATTGAGCTATTGATGGAATATAAATGTGCTAAAGCCATCCGTTCAACTTATTTTTTTTAAATAATCGTCTTCAGCAGCTGAATTTGACATTTCATTAACATCCGAATGGGAGGAACGAAGGAATGTTTCGCTGAGAGTCTGATGATTCGATCACTGCTTGTTCTCTAGGGCGATCCAGGTGTGGGCATCGCAGGGCCTCCAGGACCTCCGGGGCCACCAGGACGGCCAGGGGCGTTCAAGTCTCCGGTATGTGCTTGATTATGTAATTATGTATATCAGTGGATAACTCTATAACAGCACGAGCTCACTGAGGCTTTCTCTCGTGCAGGACGGCACTGACGGCTCGGGCTCCAGTTACCTGGACTTGGACAGTGACACAGAGGTGATACGGGTGAGTTATAGCCCTGTTATAATGAAGTTGTCTTTGCTGATGTGATCTCTTGATTCCATGAGGAATGAACGGCTGTAAGTCAACGCTTAAAATAGTGGCATAAAATGATTTAACACTGAACAGAATGAAACATGAGGTAGTCATTATATAAATGTCTATATCCTTGTGTTGCTGGATTCTCACCAGGGTCCTCCAGGGCCTCCGGGTCAACCGGGTCCTCCTGGTCCTTCTGTCGGAGCTCACCCAGGGCCAGTCGGGCCCCCCGGGGATCCTGGGAAGGATGGGGAGATGGGCAAACCGGGACTATTGGTGAGTAAACGATCTTGAACTGCACTGCATTACAGAAACTTTGGGTTTGGCTCTGAGTTTGGCTCTGGATCTGAGTTTGGGTCTGGATGTGATTTTGGTTCTGGTTCTGAGTTTGGGTCTGGATCTGAGTTTGGGTCTTTATCTGAGTTTGGGTCTGGATCTGAGTTTGGGTCTGGATCTAACTTTTGGTCTGATCTGACTTTGGTCTGGATCTGAGTTTGGGTCTTGGATCTGAGCTTGGGTCTGGATTTGACTTTGGGTCTGGATCTGACTTTGGGTCTGGATCTGAGCTGGGTCTGGATTTGACTTTGGGTCTGGATCTAAGTTGGGTCTGGATCTGACTTTGGGTCTGGGGGTCTGGATCTGACTTTGGGCTGGATCTAAGTTTCGTCTGGGGGTCTGGATCTGACTTTGGGTCTGGATCTAAGTTTGGGTCTGGATCTGACTTTGGGTCTGGGGTCTGGATCTGAGTTTTGGGTCTGGATCTAAACTTGGGTCTGGATTTGACTTTGGGTCTGGATCTAAGTTTGGTCTGGGGTCTGGATTTGACTTTGGGTCTGGATCTAAGTTTGGGTCTGGATCTAAGTTTGGGTCTGGGGGTCTGGATCTGACTTTGGGTCTGGATCTGAGTTTGGGTCTGGGGGTCTGGATCTGAGTTTGGATCTGGATCTGAGTTTGGGTCTGGATCTGAGTTGGTTTGGATCTAAGTTTGGGTCTGGATCTAAGTTTGGGTCTGGATCTGAGTTTGGATCTGGATCTGAGTTTGGATCTGGATCTGAGTTTGGGTCTGGGGGTCTGGATTGACTTTGGGTCTGGATCTAAGTTTGGGTCTGGATCTGAGTTTGGATCTGGATCTGAGTTTGGGTCTGGATCTGAGTTGGGTCTGGATCTAAGTTTGGGTCTGGATCTAAGTTTGGTCTGGATCTGAGTTTGGATCTGGATCTGAGTTTGGATCTGGATCTGAGTTTGGTCTGGATCTGAGTTTGGGCCTGGATCTGAGTTTGGGTCTGGATCTAAGTTTGGGTCTGGATCTAAGTTTGGGTCTGGATCTGAGTTTGGATCTGGATCTGAGTTTGGATCTGGATCTGAGTTTGGGTCTGGGGGTCTGGATTTGACTTTGGGTCTGGATCTAAGTTTTGGTCTGGATCTGAGTTTGGATCTGGATCTGAGTTTGGGTCTGGATCTGAGTTTGGGTCTGGATCTAAGTTTGGGTCTGGATCTAAGTTTGGGTCTGGATCTGAGTTTGGATCTGGATCTGAGTTTGGATCTGGATCTGAGTTTGGGTCTGGGGGTTTGGATCTGAGTTTGGGTCTGTATCTGACTTTGGGTCTGGGGGTCTGGATCTAAGTTTGAGTCTGGCTCTGAGTTTGGGTCTGGATCTGAGTTTGTGTCTGGACTGGGGCTGCTGGTCCCAGATGGTAAACTCAAACCACGCACCAGAAAGGCATTTATTTCCACTCAGACTCCAGGGTATAAGAGTGCTCAATTACATAGACTCCTAGGTAATTCTAGCACAGTATCAGTAGACGGCAGCATCGAGATGTCGTGCTCGACCACATGTAGTGCTTGGGGCTGAGGCTCACTCCTGTCCAACGGACGACATATTTAGGAGTAGTCTGGGACTCGGTCATGATGCTGGCACAGTTGTCTCCTGTGTGTATCGAGTCGAAGAAGTAAGCTTGGCCAACGCTAGTGCAGACGGTGCAATCTGGAGGAAGTTTGGCCAGCGGTGTAACGGATCACAGAGACGGATGTAAATGCAAAGACTCTTTATTGAGGTGTACACAGACTCGATGGTCAGACACAACACAGGTAGACTCCACAGGTGCGGTCGAGCGATCAGCGCTGGATGGAAGGGTGACACAGGGACCTCGGTGAACGACTGGTGAAGGAGATATCCGTGGTGACCCAGTGAAGTGCTTGGAATCCAGTGCAGGTGAAGAATCCAGACGAGACGAAATACACAAGGAATCCACGATCCAACACGAACACGATCCAACACGAACACAGGAACACACCGGGGAAAACCACAACGATCTGACAACATGAGACACCAGTTACTGAGCTTATAAAGGGACAAACGGATTGAAACCAGCTGGCGCTGCTGATCAGTAGTGATCAGTGACCACGCCCACAGACACAAACACACACACAAACAACAGCACGCGAGACGAGAGAGAGACAGTGAATTGATGAACCGTGACAAGCGGGACATAGATCTGTTTGTGTCTCAACTCACATTGTTCCCTTCTGGTTTTCCCTCACTCATCCAGCTCCTCTGGGACTGGACGCCATGGTAAGCCTTGGCCGAGGCTTCAGCTGTACGCATTTCCCCCGATTACTCTGCTCTCAGGAGTTCTAGTCAACTCCCATTAGTAGCCCGCTCTGGCCGGCCCTAGTGTGGGTTTCAGACCTGATAGCCCTCCTGGACGCTCCCCGTGGAGATTCCCGTCAGGAGGGACCTCATAACACAGGCCTAACACCGGCCGGGGCTTGATATCACACCCCCGGTCCGAGATGTCGAAATTGTGGGTTTGGCCCCTGAGGGGGATCAGTTCCTGAACGCTGATCTCTATACTGAGGTAGTGGAGACCAAACTAAATTCTAGTGGAGAGTATTCACTTCATGGTGTAGACCGCACCAGCTGGACCCGGCTTCAGTTCCCCTTTCCCCCTCTACACGTAAGGTGTTTGTGATGGCGGTGGTTGACTTCCATGTCCCCCTGGATAACAGCTCGCTGGGAAGGCATCATCTCGTTACACGTTTCCTCCGTGGTACCCGTAGGACGAGGCCTCCGGCTCAGGTAAGGATACCTGCATAGGACCCCACCATGGTGTTAGTAGGGTTAACCTACGACCCTTTGGACACGGCATCAGACAAGTGTCTAGCCTTACAAACGACATTTTTCTGGCAATGTCGTCTCATAGGAGAGCAGGAGACTTGCAGACCTTGTTGGTTGCTTCCTCCTGTTTAGAGTTCGCTCCAGGAGGATTGAAGGCTATTCTTTACCCAAGACCGGCTTATGGACCCAAGGCACCTACTAATGGGCGGCAGTGGGTTGTCCACGAACCGAAAGGTTGGTGGTTCAATCCTCGGTTCCACCTGACCAAGTGTCGATGAGCAAGACACCTAACCCCAGCTGCTCCCGACGAGCTGGCTGGCGCCTTGCATGGCTGACACCGCCGTCGGTGTGTGAATGAGTGTATGAATGGGTGAATGTGAGGCAAAATGTAAAGCGCTTTGGTGGCCATTAGGTCTATGAAGGCGCTATATAAATGCAGTCCATTTACCATTTACCAATGGTCCGGCCGGTGGTCCCTCAGGCCTCCACCCTCCCCAAGCGTCCGCAGAACGGGACGTCCAACGGCGGAGTGGTCCTCGTCACACCTTTATCAGATTGTATAGTCTGGACCTTCCGGCGACCCTGTGCATCTCTTCTCAGGGAACAGTGGTTACGGGGTTACCTGAGACTTTTTTTGATGGATGATTTCCAGGGTGTTACTATGCTATATTTAAACTGAAATATAATTTTAAGATTGCATTGTTTTGAATGAAATCAGAGCATTTAGATGCTAAAATCAGAGCGCTCTTGAACACAGATACTTGTCTTCATTAAAGGCCTTCAGATGCGTTGGCATTGCCACTCCAGGGTTATTACAGTTCTGTGAAACATGACATTACACAGTTATCCAGACCTCCAGATTGATGTAATTGTTCCAGAATGTTTTGTCTTGGGTGAAAATCAGATAGCGTATTAATCCACTAAAGTTTTCAGATGAACACTGGCCCGTAAAGCGGTGAATCGAGCCCAGATCCGCCCGCAGGAGCGTGATGGACTAACATTCATGTCTTTTGCTTAACTGATATTGATCTGCTCCGCTCGAATTATGGAGCACGAACGCCTCCGTTACGATGGGGGAAACGGCCTAACCGTACACTTCAGCGAACTCCCCGTTTCCAGCTTAAAGCCAACGCTTGTGTTAACCCATCCGCTGTAATGTCATGAGTGTTTCAGCCTGAGTGAAGAAATGTGAAAACACTCTTCAGATTGCTGTTAGATCTGTACTTACTTAGTGTGAGTGTGTGTGTGTGAGTGTGTGTGTGTGTGTGTGTGTGGTCCTAATATGCTGATTTCTGTCACTTTAGGGTGCTAATGGACGAGACGGTGAACCTGGGAAAGACGGAGAAAAAGGCCAAAAGGTAAAATGTGTTTTATATAACCTTTAACCTACGTTTTTTCTTTACCACTGTTTGTTGATTTTAGTCATTATTTAATTCTGTGTTTTATTTGTCTCTAAGTATCTTTGAAAATGTAGTTTTGTGATTATTATAGATAAATATTTGAGTGGTCCGATTACTACCTTCCACAGGTAATTTCTGTTTAAGCTAATAACGTCGTCATGTGCCGCTGCAGACTGGGAGAAGCTGTTTTCTAGGTTGAAACGTCTTGTGTTTTTGGCAGGGGGACGCAGGTGTACCTGGAACCAGTGGACCAAAGGTAAATTCCTGCAGATGATCGTGATGTTTCAGATCCGCAGTGTTGGGGAAGATATGTGAGTAAGTAAGTCTGAGATTATCTGTAAGGTAACTTCAGATCTGCTGTGTGTGTGTGTGTGTGTCCCTCAGGGAGATCCAGGGGTCCCGGGACAGCGAGGGCCTGAAGGAGCTGAGGGCCCCAGAGGACCCCCCGGACCCCCCGGACCAGCGGGGAAACCCTTCAGCTTCGACATGATGGTGTGTTTCACCTCCAGACCTCAGTCTCTGTGTTTAGCTACTTAAAATCAAGGGAAGGATTAAGAACATGCATATATTCATGTATTTTTGTTGTTTATTTATTTTAATCATTTATTTATTTGTTCTTTTAACTTATTTTTTTTCTTTATTTTACTATTTTTTTCTAACTTTTTTATTTATTTGTTTATTTTTACTTATTTTTTTCCAATTTCAATTATATATTTATCATTATATTATTGATTAATTATTCATTATTTTAGTTATTAATTCATTATCATTTATGTATTCTTTGTTATTTATTATTTTATTTCATATATTTATATTATTTCTTTATTTATTCTTTGTGTACATGCAAGTGAGGGATGTTTTATTAAAGAAGCAGATCTTTTGAAACCCACTGCAATGTTTTCTGGCTCTGTCTCGGCTGGTTTCTTCAGGATCTGGAGGGCTCCGGCCTGGATGGAGACAGTGGCTTCAGGCCGCTGCTGCCCAGAGGACCGCCCGTACGTACATGAACACTCCGAGTGTCTTCTGTGTGTTTCAGCCCAACTGCAGCTCATTCTCATGCATGTTCTCTCCCTCAGGGTCTTCCCGGGACCCCCGGACCCCCCGGACCACAGGTACTGCACCAAAACAAATCATGATCGGTCAATACATGTCGTTTTACCCATCAGTCCCAGGGTTCTGCATATCTGTCTCATAACCCTTAGATTTGTTCCTCTCCATCATGTTTAAACGAACACAACTCTACACTTTTAGGGGAAAGACGGAGCCGACGGCCCTCGGGGTGTTTCAGTGAAGGTCTGTTCTCCTTCATCACGTTCATACACACACTTCCACAACTGTTTCCATTCCCGCTTTCCAGCGCTGTTCCCGGCATGTGTTGCCCATTATCCTGCAGTGTCTCCAACACACGTGTGCGGCCCCTTCCTCTCAGTGTAGTTCAGAGGAGAACACACTTTATAACGGCTTTATATCACATCATACACTAGGCCGCAGAAGTTGGATTCAGGAATTGATCAGGGAAATAAGATTCCACTTAATAAATTGCTCCCATGATACACCATTAATTTAGCATCACAAGTTCTGTGCAGGAGAACTACGTAATATATTATTTTCTATATATTATATAAATATTATAAGACTTCTGCCACACAGAAATTCATTGAACACATAATTTAACCTTGTAAAGCTTGTAACGTTGCGTGATGATGTCTCCTCCACTCCACTAGGGGGAGCCGGGCGCAGACGGAGCCGATGGACAGCCCGGGTCACCTGGACGCCCTGGGCCACAAGTAAATATACAACACAAAATATGTTATATAAATTTGTGCAATCTATTCATTCTTTTTCCATCGACTTATACATCCTGTAAAAACAAAAAAAAAACATCTAGAAATGTTTTAAATGTGAATTTGTACCTAATTAGCTTTTTTTTTTTTTTTCAGGGTGAAAGGGGAGAGAAAGGTGATTGGGGTCAGAAGGTTTGTAGCTAATTCTCCTTCCTGACGTGTTTCTCAGAGTCTGCTCTGATGCTAATGGTGGACGTGTGTGTGTTTCAGGGAGAGAGAGGCCTGGATGGAGTGAGTTTACCTGGCCCTCCAGGGCCTCCCGGGCCCCCGGGACCCGTCTACAGCCTGCATGAGGTGAGGACATTAATGAAAGGTCACACTGGATTGATTCATCTGACAGGGCCGGGTAATGATTGCAGTGAACTCTTTCTCGCCCTCAGCTCATGCTCAACGACACTGAAGGGATGTTCAACCTCTCCGGGGCTTTTGAAGCACAAGGTCCACCGGTAAGAAGCAGAACCTCCTCGTCTCGGGTCCACAGCCCGAGCCTCCGGAGAGCCCTTCGAAACACAAACATCTTCTTGTTCAATCATATTTATGCTAAAGTCACCCTAAAGTTCAAATGAAAATCACCAATTAGAAAAGACAGCAGTGAATTAAAAAGACGAAAACAAAAAACATATCAATTTAATCAGAAGACAATATTGAATCAGAAAAACATTCAATCAAAAATTGAATAAAAAAACATTGAATCAGAAAAACATTCAATCAAAAATTGAATTAAAAAACATTGAATCAGAAAAACATTGAATCAGAAATTGAATTAAAAAACATTGAATCAGAAAAACATTGAATCAAAAATGTAATAAAAAAACATTGAATCAGAAAAACATTGAATCAAAAATTGAATTAAAAAACATTGAATCAGAAAAACATTGAATCAAAAATTGAATAAAAAAAACATTGAATCAAAAAACCATTGAATACAACAACTTTGAATCAGAAAACAATATTGAATTGAACAGTGAATCATTAAACACACATGATGAGTGTATCTGCTGTATCAGTGGCTGTGTTCAATGCATGTTTCTGACTTTCTTTGACCACCCTGAATATCATTTCGCAGCGTTATTAATATTATTAAAGAAGCAATTACTATGAACATCCACTTTTAACTAAAAAAATAAATCCTTTATGAAATCCAGAAGGGACAAATAACAGCCGTAAAGTCATTTTCCCTGTTTTATGGTGGAATGCACATTCAATATAAGATTACAATGAAATATCACTTAACACACGCGTGTCATCTTTCCAGCGTTCCAGACGTTATCTTCATGATTTTTCATTTCCAAACTGCTTCCCGCAGAGAAAGGCTCAGGAAGACGAGTCACTGAAAGCCACACACACACACACACACACTCACAGCGCAGGAGTGTAAACACTGCAGTGTAATTGAATTATTCACAATAATCATTGAATTCTGCGCTGAGCCGCCTGTGAAACGATTACACACATCAGCTGTGCTTTACTGTGTCCCTCACAAGGGGTGTGTGTGTGTGTGTGTGTGTGTGTGTGTGCTTCAGTGTCAGACTCGCAGATCTGGAGATGTCATGAAACACACACACACACACACACAGCGTTCAAGCGTGTGGTTGGAGATAATAACACACACATCGTCTCACAGCGGCGAAACACACTCCATGTTGTGATGGAACATTTAACTGCAACAATTACTGGAATTATGTGTTTAAGCATCTGAAATGAAGTTAATAACGTGATTATAGTGGAGAGCTTTGGCTTTTGGATCATTTGGATATTTGTGTGGGTTTTGCACTTGAGTGTAAAAGTTTTGATGGAGTTTAATTACGTTACAGCAACGATGACAAACATAAAGGAGTTTTGCTTTGATCCACAGGGTCCGAGAGGGCCGAAGGGGGACAGCGGGGCCCCGGGGGTCCAGGGGTCAAAGGTGAGAGACCAGACCAGACTACAGTGTGTGTGTGTGTGTGTGATATTCTGATTCCACAGTTTATCATGAGAAGTTCCTGCAGCTGATGAATAGGGATGTCAGGAGTGTGTGATTACAGTAATAATGTGTGTGATTGCCGCTCCAGGGTCAGAAGGGAGAGTCGGGGTCCGTGTCCGGAGTCTCAGGGCCACAGGGGCCAGCAGGACTAAAGGTCACTCACTACTTCCCCAATGCTTTAATCGCCGGATCCTCCGGATCTCGAGCCCGAGACGATAGGTCCGTCATGGTTGTGCAGTCTTGATCTGATTTCCTTGTTTTTCCTGTAATCCTCAGGGCGAGCGTGGCGTTCCTGGCCCGCCTGGGCAGCAGGTGAGAGGAGGACGTCGTCGTGACTGGCATTCATTCATATTTTCACACTTATATTTCATTATGAATTCTCCAAATGAAGGAGGGAGCGTGTAGAATAATAATGCAAACGCAGTATTTCTGCTACTCCTCCGTCACATCAGCTCCACCTGATGGAGTCAGTCAGTTATTTGCTTTTCAGTCCCTCCAGGATTTCACGATTTTTTTGTGTGATTTTTGCGATCAAAATGACTGATTTTGTTTTGGTAATTTCCAAAAATTTGTGAAAAAATTTGCGATTTATATATAACATTTACCATAATAGTATTCAGTCCTTCCAGAAAAACGCAGAGTTTTTTTGTGATTGTTGCGGGCAAAAATTGATGGATTACGCGGTAAACTACTGGCAGCTGTGGTTGCCAGCATCATACCGTAAATTTATGCAATTTTATGAGATGAAATTGCAGGAATTTGCAAAAATTGAGGGAACTTGCAAAAATTGCAGTTTGATGAAAAAGAGAAAAAAAAGTGATTCCCCCAACATCCTGTTAATGTAAGAGTCATTTTCTTATTACTTCCTTTGATAAGCAAGCATACTACATCATAGAAAGTGCTGGGAATATTTAATTTCTCATCTTGTTTTATTTCAGACTGTAAGAGTGTAAATAAGGTGTGGCCCCTTTAAGAGCTCTCTGCAGTGTTATATGTGCGCCTCGAACACCCCATGCGTGCGGGTCATTTCTGTTTGATGCTACTTCTTTTATCTTATGTTGTTTATTAAGTAACGACGTGACGGTAGAACGTGTGACAGACAGTTATACGAGTTCGATTTGTGAGATGTCAATCGCCTCCGTGAGTCTGTCTGGCGTCGCGTAATTGCGTCATTTCATAACGTTCCCATGGAAACAGGGGGAAATGGCTGCTCTTGTGTGAAGCAAACGCAACATTTTTCAACTTTCTGCTAAGATACATGTGACTTTTTTTGCAACGAAAATGCGAGGATTGTGAAATTATGCAAACCCCGCATATTTTGCACAGAAATCGGCAATTTATGCGGCGAAAGTGCGGTGTATTTGAAAAAATGCGGCCCCTGCATAAATATGCGGACTTTGGCTGATTTTGCATTGAATTCAGCGATCGCATAATCACGTTTTTCTGGAGGGACTGGCTTTTTGTCCAACTAAAACACCACAAGAAGCAACAAAATCACAGCCAATCACATCATGCGTTTAGAAGCTCTTGCTCTTGACAGGAAACAGCAGTGACGGATTAAGAGTTAAGAGTCGGACTCCTCTAACATTTTCCAATTCACATATTTTCGAAGTGCCTTTGCTGATTGTGATTTATAATAAGTCGAGTCCAGAGAACAGACACACAACGAGAGTTCAGTCTGATCTGATCTCTGATCTGTGTGTTATTAATCTGATCCAGGGCCTCATCGGACCCTCTGGACCAAAGGGGGAGTTTGGATTTCCAGGACGTCCGGTAAGTTACCTGAAAAACTCAATAAATAACAATAATATAACATAAGTGTCATTAACATTATATAGTTCTTAAGAGGAGCAGGAGCGTATCGTTCAGAGGTTTGGGGTCAGTGAGATGTTACTGTGTCTCTTCTGCTCACTAAAGCTGCATTTATTTGATCAGAAATACAGTAAAACAGTGAAATATTATCCCAATGTATATGAGCTGTGTTTCTATGTGAATGTGTAGTAAAGTGTAATTCCTGGTCAAAGCTGAATATTGCGATGAATCGATGATGTACGGGTGTTGTGTGTGTCCTCAGGGTCGTCCAGGGGTCAGCGGGCGGAAGGGAGAGAAAGGAGAGTCCGTGGGTTTACCTGTGAGTCCATCATGTGTCGTGTGTTACTGAGCTGAAGTGCTCTGGAAATCATGATGCCGTGTCATCGAGCTCTTTTACAGCATCTTTACTCAAAGCTGTATGAGGTCCAGATTGCTGCCCTTGACATCCAGCATTTATAAAGGGCTTTGCCGTACTCTACAAGCAAGACGTTTATGTTTTTATCTAAGAAATAACAGTTATTCATCGTTCAGGGCAGCTGCGCAAGCTTTACATCACAACAACACAAACGTGAAGCGTCTTCAGAGTCCGTTCTCCTGGCTCTCCCTCATGTCGTGTTTCGGGTCATTTTGACCTGGAAAGGATGAAATGCTAGGTAATGTTATTACAATGTGTTGTGTACATCCGCAACCACCCTCAGAGGCTCTTCACTGTAGCCTTTCTCGCCCGAATGACAGTCCTCAGGGTTGGAGGACTTCGACTTCGAGAGGCAACACTCTCCCTCTACTGCTGCAGGTGCGAGGAGATGACGGCTGCCTTGTGGCACTGCCCCCTGCCCTCTGCCCGTGCCCTCTCCCCACTGCCAGTCTTATATAGACACCCGTCTCAAATACAAGCTGGAGCAGTTTGACGATTTGGGAGAATAAAAGTCTGGGCTAAGATTGATGCAAAGTCTTTCATTCCTGATGATTCCCAGTGTCTGTCGTGATTCTGTAATGATTCCTCTCGTTTTCCCAAAGGGTCCTCCGGGTCCTCCAGGCCGTCCAGGGCCCTTCAACTGTCCCAGAGGAGTAAGTGTGTGTGTGTGTGTGTGTGTCTCACACAGACTGTGTGTAAAGCTGTTGCTCAGTGTGTGTTTATCTCCCATAGACCGTGTTTCCCGTCCCTCCTCGGCCCAACTGCAAACAGCCCGTGAGTGACTGAGTAAAGCTCATCTTCATCTTCATCTTCGTCATCCTTCAACTCTCTCACTCTAACTCTGATCAAGAAATATTCCTCTCAGTGAGGATTTCATTCTCATATTTAAAGGAGAAGTGCGTCATTTCTGCACCAAAACAAATATTATGATAGTATTATTTCATTTGTTTAGTATTTACTACCAGTTCCACTTTATTATTGAGCTGTTCTTGCTGCAGTGGAATTATACATTTACGTTCAGAGTAATATTAACTAACTAAATGCACTCATTCTGGGGTTAGGGTTGGGTTTAGTTACATGTAATTATTACTATAGTAACACATTTAACACGTCTGGACACAAACACATTCATTTACTATTTACATACATTTTTATCATATTATGTGTTTTCATCAGTATTATACAGATCACTCTAGATATCAAACTGGGATATGAGAGAGATGATTTGAACACACACTTGACCTTTGACCCCTCTCAAGTGTTACACATCATAACACTGCAGCACATACGCATAGCCTGAAGGAGATACTGGCAGCATGAGTTTATGGCCCATAATGCCGTTCTCTGGGCTGGGTTTGATCATGTGAGACGCCTGCACGTGTGTGTGTGTGTGTGTGTGTGTGATGGTCATAACGGCTCGTATGGATCACGGACGGTGCATAAGAACTCGTCTCGGCTTTCAGAGTTTTTGCACATCATGAATCTCTAACACTGATTTACAGTTCCTCCTCAAAGCTCCGCTGCATCATCATCATCATCTCATAACTCATATACAGTCAGTGTTTAATAGCAAACACACACGACGTCTTTAATAACACACATGAAGGCCGTAGAGTTGAGCATATCCCATGATTCAGTGCGTATGATCCATAGCCCGGTGTTTATGGCTGTTTGTGTCCGTGGATCATCAACTTCCTGAACTTCGGTGAATCACTATAAACCTGAGATCAGCAGTGTTAGCTCTCACACACACACACACACACACACACACACATGAAGAACACGAGTGTGTGTTTCTTCTGCTCGTTTGATTCACACCCAGATGTTGTATACTGAGTCGCATTAACACACACCTGTCTCTCTCTCTCTCTCTCTCTCTCTCTCTCTCTCTCTCTCTCTCTCTCTCTCTCTCTCTCAATTCAATTCAATTTCAATTCAATATAGCTTTATTAGCATGACTGTGTAACACAATGTTGCCAAAGCATCAACATATTATATATAAATAATGAAATGATCTCTCTCTCTCTCTGCTTCTGTTCAGCTGAATGGAGATCCCACTCGAGGTGTGTTATTTCATGATCATCACACACTACTGTTCAAAACTTACACCAAACATATTACACAAAATAATGAATATTAATTTATTCTAATAGTTTATTCTTTTATATTGTTTTAATGTGATATATGAATAATTTAGTAATGAGTGTCTGATCTGTTCTCTCATAGGCCACACACTGGAAACCAGAGTCACTGTGAGTTTCATCACACACACACACTTTAATGTTTAATGTGCTTTAATGTTTAACCGGTAAAGTTGTTTTTATTTGTGTGTGTGTGTGTGTGTGTGTGTGTGTGTGTCAGGCTGATAAAAGCTTCATAGGAGAGAAAGGAGAGAGAGGTGAAGCGGGGATGCCGGGGGATCCTGGAAAGTCTGGTTTGTTGGTGAGTCACACACACACACACACACACACACACACACACACACACACACGCACGTGGCCTTTTATAAAACCTCTGTTTCTGTTTTCATCAGTTCTTCATTAGACTCAAAGATGCATTTATTTGAACCCTATAAGCTACTGTATCATATTTGATACACACATCTCGAATCTGATGAACCCGTCACACTCAATCCAGTCCTTCTGTGTCCGACTGAACATCTCACACACACACCTGTAATCTCGATCTCCTGCAGTCCTTCTGTGTCCGACATTTTATTATTAGTTTTGATTTCTCCTCACACTCCCTGTTTGTTCTCTTCTCTCGTCACTCAAAGTGTTTTCTGATCTTTCTGTGCGATTCAAGGAGTGATTTATTGTAAATTTGCCATTTCTCGTTGGTTAATCTGAGGATAATGACTCACTTTCTGTCGGATCATATTAGAGTGAAACGTGACTTTTCAAATATTGCAAAATATTCTCAAATTCTTATAACTGACCTAGAGCAGATCAATCTCAATAACTCATCATCATAGATTATGGTATTTTATGGATTTTCTTGACTTTTTTTTTTTGGAATAGTTAATCCAATTTATTTCTATGTTTATCAATATCAATATCAATATCAATTTTATTTGTATAGCACACTTAAAACAACCAAGGCTGACCAAGGTGCTTCACAGATATAAAATACAACAAGGCACACAGTAAAACGACAACAATAGAACATTATAATAGACAGTGTATGATATATAATGAAATTAAATTAAAAAATTTACCAGGAAAGTAATCACTCAGATAAACATAGTTAAAATTTTAATTTTAAAATGAATAATTTACTTACTAATGCTGTTACTCTTGAGAGTAAATTCTGCACTAGAAGTGCTGTTTAGTTTGAGTGGGTGTGTGTCCAGTGGTTCTGCTGGGAGTGTGATGGGTAATGGTTCAGGGTTTGTCCGCAGGGGCCTAAAGGGGAATCTGTTGCCGGGCCCCCGGGTCACCCAGGCCCTCGAGGACCCCCTGGAGCACCAGGTTTGGGCAGAAGTGGTTTTGCTGGACCTCCGGGACCGCCGGGACCTCCGGGACCACCCGGACGATACGCTTCCGGTGAGGAGAACCTTAAAGCACAATCAGAACATCTGACCATCAACAGTCCAACCCAACCACACAAATGTGCTATATCAACACACCGCCGTCCTCATCCCACAAATCCACAACATATCTGCCGGACCGTCCAGTACAGACACTCGCCAATAAAACACACGTATGAGATGATCTGATCATAAACACCATGGATTTCTCCTACAGATTAATAAAGGCAGAAGCTGAAGCGTCAGGTGTAATCATGTGCCAGCAGCTCAATTAATTACAGAATCTTTATGAAAATATAAAGATAAACAAGCTTTTACAATATGCATTATTGGAAGAAATTAGCAAAATTTTAACTTCTTTAACTTCTAACTTTCTCAATAACAATAATAAATGCCTTCACACACATTGTACATAAACCGTCCTGTAGGTGGAGCCAAATTGAACTTAAACGAGTCCTGCTCTGCTTTTCCCCTGAGTGTGGTGTGTGATGTTGCTGTTAGATCATGAGAAGCTCCAGTTCTTCTCTATATGAGTGTCAGTGTTCCTGAACTCCTGAAACGCCTCCACTGTAGTCTTGAGTTTCTTCCGGGAACACGTCGCAATATTCCTCATTATAATAATTCATACGCAGAATAAAGGGGCGGGACATTTCCTAAACACACTCGAAGCACTCGACCAATCACAACACACTCCTCCAGCCGACCAATCAGAGCACAGTGTGCTTTAGGGAGGAGGGGCTTCATAGAGACAGGAAGTAAACAGAGCGTTACTGACAGACTGGGAAGAGAGGAGCCGCAACAATGGAGAATATGAGGAGAATAATCATGAAACCTGATCTAGGAGAGCCTGAAAACACATCAAGCCTCTTTAAGATGAACTGTATTTATAAAGAGAGAGTGCTGTTTGATAAATCATTCATACATTTACATTTAGGATCATTACACACACACATCTTTATACCTGAGGCTCTTATAATGGTGAGGGTCCTGGAGGTCTCAGACGCTTTACATCTGTTTATCTGTTTCTCGGCATGTTGTTGATCTGAGATAATGATTCTCTCAGTGGACCCCTGCAGAGCGCTGTAGATTTCCCATCAGTCCTGCTGTGATCCCAGTGTGTGTGTGATCCTGTTGTTGTTTCAGGTGTGAGGATCCCTGGTCCTCCGGGTCCTCCGGGTCCCCCGGGTCGAGCTGATCCCGCCGGAGCCGTGAGTAAACCCTCATATCTCTTCAACCAATCTGTCAATCATTTGCTTTAATGCCAAAATGTGGTCACATGATCTCGCCGCATGAGGAACAGAGTGAGCTGTGCTTCATACACTGGGAGATGTCACTGATGTGACTGCGGCTTTAAGGGAATACTTCCCTGCAAACGGATAATCCTGTCATCATGTACTCCGCCTCACGCTGTTTCAAACCTACTCCTGATGAACACGAGGGAAGATGTTTTGAAGAACGGCGGTAACCGAACAGTTGATCGACTTCCATACTATGTGTTTCCTACTATGTAATCAATGGCGCGCTGGGGCGGTTTGGTTATCGACATCCTTCTAAATATCTTCATTTGTGTTCATCAGAACTAAGAAACTCATACAGGTTTGAAATAACTTCAGTTTGCAGTGAAATATTCCTTTAAAGCCCTGAATATGTTAAATCACTCATCTGGTGTTCTGTCGTGAGAGATGTCGAGTTTCTGTCGTGAGAGATGTGGACAGGGTTCTCAAGTCTCACGCATTGGCCGTGAGACACGCGCATTTCGAGCGGTTCACACGCTCACACGCCACACTGTGTATTTCTCACGCTGAAAAGGCAATGCCAACCAAGTTGTCCTGGCTGAAAGCTTTCTAACGTTGTATACGAGGCACAGGCAAACAAAGTGAAGTTTCCTGCCGCCAGCGCGTATCTCCGCCAGATTGCGTTCGTTACTAGGCAACATATACGCGCGCTGCGTGCACCACTGATCTATACATGACATGTCATTCAGTAGCGCGAACACACGGAAATGGACGGAACATCCTCGGCCACCGTACGTTCGTTACTAGGTAACCAACAACATCGCGCGAACACATGTGTCGTGATGGAGAAGAAGGTCAGTTGGAAGAAGCTCGTCTAACATTTTTGGGCTAGAACATGTAATATGTAGCCCATCGTACATTATTATTGATGCAGTCAAAAACTCTACAACTACTTTGCAACCAGGCTCAGTTTGGCTATCTTACGTTATCTGAAACTAAGAGAAATCTTAGTGGGTATGGAAAGGAATGAAGATTTACTGATTTTATTTTAAATTATATTATACTGTAATATTAATAGTCTTTCTAGTTACATTAAGGATGTATTACAGCAGATTGCTCTGGGTAATATTTAATCATTGTCATAATGTTGCATTTGTATTTTTCAAAGATGTCAGGAAAAAAGCAGGAAGATATTTTGTCATTTTGGGCACCAAAGGGTATAAGCCCCCTAAAAAGGTTGCCAGATTAGAGGAGACGGTGGAAGAGGTGGTGCACTCTAATCTGTCCATTTGTTCTCAATCATTCGTCTAGATAGAAGACGCATTCAAAAATCAAAATGCAACCAATTTTTAAAGATTTGTTTGAAACTGTTTGGAGCAATTTGTTATATTTTTGGTTAGCTATATTTGTATTACTGCATTAAAGAGTATTTGATGTGATGAATTGCTCTGTCATTTATCAGATTTACTAATTGTTATAATTTTAATTTGTTCTGGTTAATTATGAACAATGGGTAAAATTGGGGGCGGGGATGGGTGGGGCGGGGCTTCATTATGGCTCCTCCCCTAACCGCGTGTGATCTCACTCCAAGCTTTTGCTCAAACTTGAGAACCCTGGATGTGGAGTTTGTGTCGTGTCCACAGGTTCGGAGGTTTGCTAGTGTGCGAGTGATGACGCAGGCGCTGGAGGACGAGGGAACGCTGGCTCTGCTCTCAGACTCCAGTAAACTCTTCATCCGAGTGTCCGGAGGCTGGCGAGAGGTTCTGCTGGGCGCTCTGATCCACACACTCCAGTCTCCTGCCCTCGCACAGGATGATGTAATAAACACTCCTTCAGCACACCACACACACTACACACTTGTTATTGGGCAAGAAAACACTTTTTATTGTGGAAAAAGTGACTGTTTTAAATCTGATTTCAAATAGAGAGAGAGAGTGTGTGTGTGGACTGAGCTTGTGTCTGTTATACCCTACAGGCTGAACCTCTGATGCTGAGGCCTCAATTCAACACACCTGAGATACATACGGGACAAGCAGTAAGTGTGTGTGTGTGTGTGTGTGTGTGTGTGTGTGTGTGTGTTGAATGGTTTGGCTTCTCCTAGTGGAAAGTTCTCCACAGTAAGCTGAGTGTAAAGCGAGTGTCATGTATCCTCCAGTAGTGTATCTCTGGCTGTCCCACCACACACTGAACGCTCTCTCCGCCGCACACACACATCCCCAGGCTGTCCTCCACAGAGAGACTCATGTCATATTTCAGATTTGTCATGGTTTGGTTATGAAAAGCAGCTCAGAGAGATCAGGCCTCGTCACTGAGTCTGTGGTGTCCAGCTCCTGTTTTAGACTAAAGGACGGTTCTTCATCATCCATGAGGAGATGCTCTGCTTTCTTCACTTTTGGACCGTTTTTGTGTCTTATAATCAGGGTTTGAAATGAACAAATGCGGGTGAAGATCAACAGTGGCGGGAAACGCTTTTAAATCACTGGCCAATTTGCATGTTATTATTATATTTACTCACTTTGCTGGGGAAGTCCGCGTAGCCAATCTGCCAAATCAAAAATCATCATGAGATATAAAACACAGCGTATTGCACAGAATCTGCTCATATGTGGCTTGAACACACGCGGCTCGACACAACTAATAACGGCTCGCTCGTTCATTGGCGTTGAGATTAAAACGCTTTTGGTGAACAGAAAACACACTGTTGTTTTCCAACATCTGAGCTGTTTCTGATGTTCTGTGTCCTTCTAAAACACATGTATGGGGATGAGGATGAGGATGAGGAGGAAGAGAGATGATGGATGACATGATTTTGTTTGAATAAGGAATGAATGTATGAAATCCAAATTTTACAGTATATACTGTAAATAAGCTCTGATGTAATTAATCTGGTTTGTTTCTTTCTTCTTCTTTCATTTCTTCTTCTTCTTTCTCTTTTTCTTTCCTTTTTTTGGCTAGTAGAAGTTCTGAATGGCTGATAACTTTAAAAAAAATATAGCGCATTTTCAATGGTTTGTGGGCAAAATGATTTCAATAATCTGTTCAGTAATCCTCATTTGACACGAGGGCGAACGGTTTCCACACGCTGGTAACTGCAACTTCATATCTCACAATTTTGAGATTAAAAGGTCTTGAAGAGAAAAGAACAGAATTGTGAGTTATAAAATCTGAACTGTGCTAAATAAAGCCCGTTTATATTTCAGTAAAATAGTCATCGTGTTTCTCAGCATTGGCAGTGTTTATTGACGTGTGTCCTTGTCCATGCTCTCAGCTGAGGCTGGTGGCCCTCAACACACCGCTGACGGGCAATCTGGGCTCCATCCACTCGGTGAACCAGCTCTGCAGAACTCAAGCTCAAGCCATGGGGATCAGGGACCATTACAAGGCCTTCCTCTCACACCACCTACAGGACCTGATTGACACCGTGCAGCCCATGTTCCGGACTCACACGCCAGTCGTCAACCTGAAGGTGAATGTCTTAGGTTTCACTCACTCCTGCTCCTTTGTAAAGGAATCTCACCTGTTTCTGTTTTAAATACGTTTTTTTGTTTATTTATTTCAGTTAATGCTTATTTTAACTGTCACTCGCCCGTATACGGGCAACCTAAATTTACTTCACTATATTACTATTAAATCCTAATCTAGTCATGACAAACTATATATCGTTGGAAAGGTCTAAGACTCCTAAATAGATATTTGATATTTGTTTTTTTTTCTTACAATTTATGAATGAACAGTAATATATGAATTTATCACAAGAGTGCGCATCAAAAAATTGACGTCATTACAGGTGTTTCTGACCTTTCTATTTGTCAATAAAAAAAGATAAAATTATATTTTTAAAAGTAAGGTAAGAAGTCCTCTAAAAAGTATAATATATTATATATATATAAAAACCTTTTTTTATTATTATTATATCACATATTTTAGTAGTTATCATAAGTTAGGTATCATTTGAAAGCTTATGAACTCAGAATTCATCCTGTGAAAACCGTTTTGAAATTAGACGTTGCGTTACCATAGAAACGGTATTTTTTTATTAGGCCCCTCCCCTTTTGGCCATCATCTTTCATAATTTATTATCAAAACCTTTTCTAGTCTTGACAAAACGCATATTGTCAGAAAGGTCTGAGTCTCAAGGTTCCATATTTAGTGACAGAAGTGATATTTGGATAGAAATGTATTAATTTGTTATGGCAGAATGCATACAATTAAATTCAATGGAATTCAATTGCACCCGGTGGCTATTTTTGGTATAACGCCTAAACAAAATCTCATGGGAGCTTCAATTTTTGTGATATCAACTTTAAATTTGCAACACAACTTGGTTAGATATATAGCTTACATTTTATAGTAATTTTATAGTGTAAAATATTTATTTTATATAAAAAATTATATATTAATAAAGTATATTTTATTTACTGTAAATTATAACTTCCATAACTTTTTCATACTTTAATTAACAAGACCAAACTTGTGTATATATTCTAAAGCATTCTTGAATTACAACCATTTAAGTTTGTATAGTGCATTTTAATGTCAATTATCAAAAAGGGGGGTGACGGGTAAAGGGTAAAAGCAACACGTTTTAGGGATTAGTTCTCTTCAGAATTAAAATTTAAAACTTCAGAATTTCTTGATAATTTACTCTCCCCCACGCCATGCAAGACATCTTTCTTTCTTCAGTCAATAAGAAATGAAGGTTTTTGAGGAAAACATTCCAGAATTGTTCTCCATATAGTGACCTCAATGGGGTCCAATGGGTCGAAGGTCCAAATGTGAGTTTCAGTACAGCTTCAAAGTCTCGACACGATTTTGTGGTTAAAGACTATGTAAATGTTTATTTTTGTGAGACTTTGAAGCTGCACTGAAACTCACATTTCGACCTTCAACCCGTTTTCCTCAAAAACCTTCATTTCTTGTTGACTGAAGAAAGACATGAACATCTCGGATGGTAAATTATCAGGACATTTTAAGTTTCAGTGTAATAACCCTGGAACTGTCCCTCTAAGAGTTTAAATCCATATACTTCAGTGTGCACACGTTAGATTTTACAGGACACTTTTAAATGCCTCTGTGATGTGTGTGTGTGTGTGTGTGTAGGGTGAGGTCCTGTTCAAGGACTGGGAGTCGATCTTCTCCAACCACCTCCTGCCTCCCGGGATCCCGCTGTATTCCTTCGACGGGCGTGATGTGATGAGTGACCCCTTCTGGTCAGTACACACACTCTGAACAAGTGTTAAACACTCACAGCTTACGCAGCGTTGAAGATTATCCTCAAGTGAGCAGAGAGATTCTAACACACTTCAACAACTTCTTGATCCAATCATGTGCTTAAAAGCTTTTTGTTGGTTGGCTGAATGTTATTTTCTCATGCACATTTTAGGCAAGCAATCGCATGAAATGTCTCAGTTTAGTCCTATCATTCTACCTCATTAATTGCCTAAAGGCAGTCGACAAACTCTAGTAATGGTTTAGTGGTAAACAGCTTCGGTTGGAGTCTCTCAAGTATTGCCAACACACACACACACACACACAGCCCTCCTCCGTGCACTGACCACAGTCCAGACGACAGCGGCTACACCTCACATTTCTCCACCCGTGCATTTGTGTTTTTCTTCTCTCTTTAAGTGTATTTATACTCCAGGCCGGTAAATATAGCCTGCAGTGTGATGCTCCAGATGAGGCAGTGACAGCGCAGCAGCAATTGTGGTTTGCTGGAGCCTTTTTTAAGGTTGTTTGTGAAGTGGGACGTTTTTAGGATCTACGTGGACTGAGTTTCAGGAGAACTGCTGTATGAATGCATGAAACAGAAGAGACAGTTCATTAAGCCCATGTTAGTAGTTCCTCAGTCTCACATTAAGAACTCTATCTGTTTTTACTCATGGTTGAACTCAGTGTGAAATGCATGTACTCGAGCTTATTATTAGGCATGTGACGTATCACATTTCCATATCATGATAATTGCTGAAGCTTCATCACAATTTTGAATTAAATTAGAAAATTTAAGTCCTGTATTTGCTCTGCAGCAGCAGTAATAACAGTAACAGTAATAACAGTAACAGCAGCAGTAATAACAGTAACAGTAATAACAGTAACAGCAGCAGTAATAACAGTAACAGTAATAACAGTAACAGCAGCAGTAATAACAGTAACAGTAATATCAGTAACAGCAGCAGTAATATCAGTAACAGTAATAACAGTAACAGCAGCAGTAATAACAGCAGCAGTAATAACAGTAACAGTAATAACAGTAACAGCAGCAGTAATATCAGTAACAGTAATAACAGTAACAGCAGCAGTAATAACAGTAACAGTAATAACAGTAACAGCAGCAGTAATAACAGTAACAGTAATATCAGTAACAGTAATAACAGTAACAGCAGCAGTAATATCAGTAACAGTAATAACAGTAACAGTAATAACAGTAACAGCAGCAGTAATATCAGTAACAGTAATAACAGTAACAGCAGCAGTAATAACAGTAACAGCAGCAGTAATAACAGTAACAGCAGCAGTAATAACAGTAACAGTAATAACAGTAACAGTAATAACAGTAACAGCAGCAGTAATATCAGTAACAGTAATAACAGTAACAGCAGCAGTAATAACAGTAACAGCAGCAGTAATAACAGTAACAGCAGCAGTAATATCAGTAACAGTAATAACAGTAACAGCAGCAGTAATAACAGTAACTAACAGTAACAGCAGCAGTAATAACAGTAACAGTAATAACAGTAACAGCAGCAGTAATAACAGTAACAGTAATATCAGTAACAGTAATAACAGTAACAGCAGCAGTAATATCAGTAACAGTAATAACAGTAACAGCAGCAGTAATATCAGTAACAGTAATAACAGTAACAGCAGCAGTAATAACAGTAACAGTAATAACAGTAACAGCAGCAGTAATATCAGTAACAGTAATAACAGTAACAGCAGCAGTAATAACAGTAACAGTAATATCAGTAACAGTAATAACAGTAACAGCAGCAGTAATAACAGTAACAGTAATAACAGTAACAGTAATAACAGTAACAGCAGCAGTAATAACAGTAACAGTAATATCAGTAACAGTAATAACAGTAACAGCAGCAGTAATATCAGTAACAGTAATAACAGTAACAGCAGCAGTAATATCAGTAACAGTAATAACAGTAACAGCAGCAGTAATATCAGTAACAGTAATAACAGTAACAGCAGCAGTAATAACAGTAACAGTAATATCAGTAACAGTAATAACAGTAACAGCAGCAGTAATAACAGTAACAGTAATAACAGTAACAGCAGCAGTATTATCAGTAACAGTAATAACAGTAACAGCAGCAGTAATATCAGTAACAGTAATAACAGTAACAGTAATAACAGTAACAGCAGCAGTAATAACAGTAACAGTAATAACAGTAACAGCAGCAGTAATAACAGTAACAGTAATAACAGTAACAGCAGCAGTAATAACAGTAACAGTAATAACAGTAACAGCAGCAGTAATAACAGTAACAGTAATAACAGTAACAGCAGCAGTAATAACAGTAACAGTAATAACAGTAACAGCAGCAGTAATAACAGTAACAGTAATAACAGTAACAGCAGCAGTAATAACAGTAACAGTAATAACAGTAACAGCAGCAGTAATAACAGTAACAGTAATAACAGTAACAGTAATAACAGTAACAGCAGCAGTAATAACAGTAACAGCAGCAGTAATAACAGTAACAGTAATATCAGTAACAGTAATAACAGTAACAGCAGCAGTAATAACAGTAACAGTAATAACAGTAACAGCAGCAGTAATAACAGTAACAGTAATAACAGTAACAGTAATAACAGTAACAGCAGCAGTAATAACAGTAACAGCAGCAGTAATAACAGTAACAGTAATATCAGTAACAGTAATAACAGTAACAGCAGCAGTAATAACAGTAACAGTAATAACAGTAACAGCAGCAGTAATAACAGTAACAGTAATAACAGTAACAGCAGCAGTAATAACAGTAACAGTAATAACAGTAACAGTAATAACAGTAACAGTAATAACAGTAACAGCAGCAGTAATAACAGTAACAGTAATAACAGTAACAGTAATAACAGTAACAGTAACAGTAATAACAGTAACAGTAATATCAGTAACAGCAGCAGTAATAACAGTAACAGTAATAACAGTAACAGCAGCAGTAATAACAGTAACAGTAATAACAGTAACAGCAGCAGTAATAACAGTAACAGTAATAACAGTAAAGTAATAACAGTAACAGCAGCAGTAATAACAGTAACAGTAATAACAGTAACAGCAGCAGTAATAACAGTAACAGTAATAACAGTAACAGCAGCAGTAATAACAGTAACAGTAATAACAGTAAAGTAATAACAGTAACAGCAGCAGTAATAACAGTAACAGTAATAACAGTAACAGCAGCAGTAATAACAGTAACAGTAATAACAGTAACAGCAGCAGTAATACAGCAGCAGTAATAACAGCAGCAGTAATAACAGTAACAGTAATAACAGTAACAGCAGCAGTAATAACAGTAACAGTAATAACAGTAACAGTAATAACAGTAACAGCAGCAGTAATAACAGTAACAGCAGCAGTAATAACAGTAACAGTAATATCAGTAACAGTAATAACAGTAACAGCAGCAGTAATAACAGTAACAGTAATAACAGTAACAGCAGCAGTAATAACAGTAACAGTAATAACAGTAACAGCAGCAGTAATAACAGTAACAGTAATAACAGTAACAGTAATAACAGTAACAGTAATAACAGTAACAGCAGCAGTAATAACAGTAACAGTAATAACAGTAACAGTAATAACAGTAACAGTAACAGTAATAACAGTAACAGTAATATCAGTAACAGCAGCAGTAATAACAGTAACAGTAATAACAGTAACAGCAGCAGTAATAACAGTAACAGTAATAACAGTAACAGCAGCAGTAATAACAGTAAAGTAATAACAGTAACAGCAGCAGTAATAACAGTAACAGTAATAACAGTAACAGCAGCAGTAATAACAGTAACAGTAATAACAGTAACAGCAGCAGTAATAACAGCAGCAGTAATAACAGCAGCAGTAATAACAGTAACAGTAATAACAGTAACAGTAATAACAGTAACAGCAGCAGTAATAACAGTAACAGTAATAACAGTAGCAGCAGCAGTAATAACAGTAACAGTAATAACAGTAACAGTAATATCAGTAACAGCAGCGTAGCAGATCTATTGTACCAAGACTGAATACATTAACATTGCATATATCCATTATCATACCAAACACCCAGAGTTGTCATGACAAAAATGTCTTTACTGTCACTTTTGAGCAATTTAATGCTTCCTTACTGAATTAACATATTATTATTATTATTTAAAAACCTTACTGTCCCTAAACTTTTGAACAGTAGTGTACATGAGCTCAAAGCTAATACACACATGAACCCATGGATGACCCTGAAGCAGCCTCGTGATACAGGGCTAGACAAACTCTTTGGGTTCAGGAAATGTAAACAGTTCTGCATGTTCCCGAGAGCGTTTTGAGATGTTTGAAGCCATACATGTCTTTAGTTATGTGTGTGTGTGTGTGTGTTCAGGCCTCAGAAGGCGGTGTGGCACGGCTCTTCAGCGAGAGGAAAGCGACTGGATGCTCTGAACTGTGAGTCCTGGAGAGCCGGAGACATGGCCATCACGGGTCAGGCCTCGTTCCTCTACAGCGGATTACTGAACCAGCAGACCCGAAGCTGCTCCAACTGGTTCATCGTCCTGTGCATCGAGACCAGCCACGAGCACAGATCCTGAGAGACTGAAGCCGCTCGCCGCAGAAACTGTGTTAGTGTGGACAGAGACGACATGAGCTCCAGCAGCACATGAACGTTCAGTCCAACCCAAGCCGCCCTCCTCGAATGTAACGTGTTTATTGGCCGGATCGCAGCGTTGGACCGGCGACGTCGGCCCTCTCCATGACATTTTCATGCACTGTACTTTTATTTTTGATGTTGATTTTCCAAACAAAAACCTTTTTTATCATGTCATTTATTTGTTTGTTATTCTGTATGTATTTAATTTAATTTCCGTGTTTTATTTATACAGTGACCGACCGCACATGATTAAAAAATGTCATTGATAAATATGTAATTTAACTGTTGAAATTAATTTTCTTTCATTTTTGTATCGTCATGAACCCGTTTTTGGACCTTGCATCTGTTTTAACAAGTTCAGATCACAATCAAATCATCTTTTTTATAGATTTTTTTATAAAGCAAATCAAGTGTTTATTGTCTGTTGAATGAAACATTTTTTTCCAAATTTCATGTTTGTGTGTTATTATTATTGATTTTGATATGATGACCTGTGATGAACTCAGATGTGAAAGTGTGTTTATGAACAAATGTTGGTGGTAAAGCCTGAAGCGCTGTCAGAAACAGTGTTTATTGGGAAAGTTTGCACCTCCCGAACACGAACGCATGCAGGCGTCCAGAGGAGCTGGCACGAGCTGGGCTTGTTTTTCAGGGTTTGCACTGACACACACACACACCAACAGTATGACTGTTTTTCTCCTCACAGTGGAATGTTGTGGGAAAAATCATGTAAACAGTCACTTTAAGAGGTCAGGAATTTTGTTTTCTTAAAATTGTATAATGTGATCAAGATTTTTTACGTCAAAAACATCCTAATTTAGAGGCAATACGCTATTTTCTATCCAGTTTCGACCCTCTCTTTGAAACACTGTTTTGATGGGCGTTTCTCATTCAGGAGTTGTGATTGAGTAACAGTTTTGCATGTAAGCAATAAGGTACTCGAGGCTGTGCTGTATGGTGAATGAGTGACGGCTGAAGGGCGTCGTTAGGCCCGACGCGAAGCGGAGTAACCCCTTCAGCCGTCACTTATTCACCATACAGCACAGCCTCGAGTACCTTATTGCTTTTATAAAATGGTTGCCACACAATATTAAAGTAAAAAACAATGTATTAGTGCAACTTTCTTGAAGTAAAAGCCTTCTTTCCGCTAGAAAAAATAGTCCCTGAGCGTGAACGGCCTGAACAGCAACGACGCTCCAGAGAGTAAAATGCATGAAGCTCAAATAAAAACAACACAGAACCGCAGTGTCGTGCAGCGATCAATAGAGCCGTTGGGCGGAGCGGTCATAGCCGTGTTTTATCGTGAATAAAGCACAGCTCTTGACCAATCAGAATCAAGGATTCGAACTAACTGTTTTATAAAATAAAATAATGACATGGAGTTGCCACGGTTATAGTTTACAAATGATAACTGATACTGTGTTTTGTGTAACAACAGAATCTTGAATGAATGTCCGATTGTCTATCCCACTGTCGTTTTTGTAGGCTATTCGTAGTTCATCCTTTTCGATAAAGTGAAAAACGTATTCATTATCATTTGCAGTGTCATGTTGTAAATAAAATAAAACATGTTGTAATGTCTTTCTGATGATGTCCCTCACAGCAAAGCCCTTCAGAGTTCCCTTTCGAGAGATCTAGAGCTGCGTCGATGACGGTCCCGTGACGCGTGCCGGTGGAAAACGAAGCTATAAAGGAGCCGGCATCACAGCTGTTGTCAGACGCAGCCCGGGGGCTTCACTTGTGGATAATGCGAGGGGTATGAGGCCCTCGTCCGCTAGCTCTGGAGGGTTTGATCCTGGGCTTAAGCGTCGAAGGTGCTGATTTGGGTGCGTTACGTCCCATTATAGATCTTCGACATCGTAGAAGTGGAAATGATGGGTTTGGCCCCTGAGAGGGATCGGTTCCTGAACGCTGGTCTACCCACATGGGATCTAGCCGTAGTATTAAAACGTTATCCTTGGCCCTTCGAGCCTCTGGACACGGCATCAGACAAATGCCCAGTCTTAAAGATGGCATTTTTTCTGGCTATGTCATCTCTCAAGAGAATGGGGAACTGACAGGCACCTTCTGGCGACCCCGGGTCACAAGCACTCATGTCCTGAGCTGTGGTTTTGTTGCTGAAATCCTGTGTTTGCGTCTCATGGCGTGTGTGTGTCGGTGGGCGGGGTCTGATGATGTAGAAGTGGGCGTCGATCTCATTCTGCAGAGGCTCTCATCACACTATTACCTGAGCTTGGATTCAAAAAAGCTGTTTTTGGAGTAAGAGGAAGAGGAAGAGAGACTTGCAGGATATTTTTATAGTACAGTGTCCTCTTATATGTCAAAAGATCAAGGAACATTTTATGTCTCAATTCGTGACCCCTTTAAATATTAATTCATTGCAAGTATTAGGCGTCACTTACTGTAGTTGATGGTCATCATGCATCTTTTTAGATTTTTGTAAATTTCTTGTTATTTACTGGAACAAAACGACAGCTTTAGAAAGTTGGTCACTGTATTTTATTTTATTATTTTATATTACCCAAAAAATGTAAAATAATTATTATTTTTATAAGACATGACTTACATTAGGCAAGGCAAGTTTATTGATGCATTTCATACACAGTGGTAATTCAAAGGGCTTTACATAGAAGAAATTAAAATAATCTAAAGAAATCAGAATAATTAAAACAGTTTAGAATAAAACATAAAATACAGTAAATAACAAGTACAGTAACAGTCGGACGAACAGTGGCGCAGTGCTCATTCAGTACAGATGTGTTTCTACACTTCTTACAGTGCCAGTCAAACTTTATTCAATCCAGCGCTCATAATTCACCACTGTAAAATGATCTCGTGTGTGTGTGTGTGTGTGAGAGAGAGAGAGAGAGATTGTGTGTGTGTGTGTGTGTGTGAGGCCTGCACTCCTCAGCATGAGTTCTGCTCATTAGGGTGATAAAGGTGTCTGATGACCGTAATATGTGGTTCTGGTGGATAAATATAGCAGTGGTTTGATATGGTGGATTTGCTCTAAGTGTGTGTGTGTGTGTGTGGAGAATTACTGCTACTTCCTGATGCTTTTCCGTCTTCAAGCTGCGTCTTGCGCTCGGCCACAACAAAGACTGACGTTTGAGTTGTGAGTATTAATTACAGAACGACACGAGATGGAGCGGAAGTCCTGCACTGAGGTTATAAAGCAGCTCATTAAATAAAACGTATTTGCCTTCACGGCAGCAAAAGTCATTACGGTCTCCAATTTTAGTTTAGCTTGGAACACCTACTGTAATTACCTCAAGATATATCACTTACGTCTGGCTTCAAGCAGGGTGTCATTAGCTTGATAAACAGATATTTAAATGTATATAGCGGTGCAAAATAATAGCGTTGAAACCAAAGCGCAGGTTTTATTCTCAGCACAGAAACAGGTCATGTCTGAACGACGGCGGTTTCACTCTGACTTTAATATAATAGGAGCTGGAGTTTCCTCAAAAGATATTATCTTTTCCCCAAGAATATCTTTGCATATCTCTAATTTATTTATTTTTAAGTGGCAGATTGTGATGAATCAGTTCTGATATGATCAGGCCAAAGATCCTATTTTACCCTCGAGTGTGGATCAAACATGTGTCTGGGAAGAACAGCGGACATCTGTTATGATTGTGCTGTAATGGCCCGAGGAGCAGGAGACCGCGGGTCAAAGGTCAGGAAAGTCATGTGAATCATATACAGATGTCACAAGCCCTCAGCGGAGCAATATAGATGTGTGTTATTTCTCAACCTCGAGATGGTTTTGTTGAATCGCTTATTCTGATTTAGCTGTTTTGTTTTATTATTTTTCATGAACTGTTTTTTGAGCATTCAGATGAACATGACGATCTGCTCATCCACTCCTGCCACGCGTCAGTGCCTCTGTGTCTGTGCGCTGCTCTCTCTCTCTCTCTCTCTCTCTCTCTCTCTCTCTGATTTAATACATTCAAAGGTTTTCTTCTGAATGGGAGGAATGGGGCCTCATTTTGTCCTCTCTGCGTGAATATCTACAGTCAAACTAAATTGTATTCAGACATCTTGCTAACCTAACTTACATAAATGAGGTTTCCTGCAACCAGTAAAAAAATATCAAAAATTATATACGGTGTCTCGATAATTTTTGGTTTGACTGTATCAGATACACGACCACAACACGTATCCGAGCCGTATCCAGATCGGATGGAGGACCTGCGCCTAGACACGACCACAACGCACGATGTAGTCCGCTGGATGATGACATCACGGTTTTCTCCAGAGCAGCTGTATAGTGTATATAAATTAACTAAATTAATAACTTTTTTTAAACAAAAATTAACCATCACTGAACTTTCTTATGCTGGACTATAACGTTTTTTATTGTAAAAAAAAAAATATGTTTCATTATTTTCCATCTATCTATCTATCTATCTATCTATCTATCTATCTATCTATCTATCTATCTATCTATCTATCTATCTATCTATCTATCTATCTATCTATCTGCCCCCCCCCCCCCTCTCTCTCTTGTGCGCATGTGCGAGCGTTTGCTGAGTGAGTGAGAAGAGTGCGTGGTGAGTGACACCTGAGTGTGTTTTCTAACTTTTTTGTTTGTTTGTTTGTTTGGTTATGTTTTTTGTGTGTTGTTTTTGTGTTTGAGGATTAGTTTTATTTAAAGAAAGTTGTGAGTCTGCCCCCGGCGTGTAAGCATGTCTGCTTCAGGTGTACACATAACGAGCAGTGATGGTTAACTCGGCGTCATGGATTAAGATTTTGTGTAATTTTAGTGTAGATGAATGTGCTTTAGCGGTTGGCGATGTAGTTGGTTACAACGCTATTGTTTCTGCATCTAAAATGAACAACGCGGTTGTTTTATTTTTAAACGCGATCGAAAAAGTGAATGAACTTGTTCAAACGGGAGTTGTCGCTAATCAATGATGCGCTTACGCTTGTTCTGCCGCTTCTAGCCTTTCTCGGACGATTATGTACCTCCTTTTGTTTCTGATGCAAGTATTGTCTTTCTTTGGTAAGATAGTCTCTCCCATTAGAAAAATAGCTTTTAGCTGTAAATCCCCCTTCCTGAAACATGTAGTGTCTTAATTCGGAGACAGGTCTACATGGTTCTGAAAAACAATGCTGAGCTGAACCTGCCATTCAATGTTAAAGTTGAGGAATTTAATTACAGTTTATGCAACGTCTGAAAGTATAATGAAATGCTTTGGCTGTGGCAAAATTGGCCATCTGATACGTGTTTGTCCTGATAAAATAGACGAAAATGCTACTGTACAGACCAACACTCAGAGTAATCCTCCTGAAGCTGTGTCTGTCACAGTGGATGCTGTGGCCCCTGCTGATGCTGCTGCTGGTTCTGGTGGGTGAGTCGGTTGGGAATAAACCCACTATATGGCTGGTTACTGCAGGTCTGATCTCGGTCTCTGATCGCATAATTTTTAACACTGTTAATTCGAGCAGTGACATTAATACAGATAAAATGGCAACTACTGATAAACAGGTCAGTGAGGGTGTTGTTGAAGTGGAGATGGAAACAGTGCCAATCTTCAAACGTCCAAATAAAAGGAAAAAAGTCCACCAGAGCAAAGTCCTTAAACAAACAAAAACGAGGTTGAAAGTTTAGTCCCAGAGAATGACGGTGATTCTTCAGATTCCAATATTTCTGAATGTTCTTATCTTTCATGGCAAAATGAAAATGAGAATCAGACCACAGTATATAAAGTTGAGGACATTAGCACATTTTTGAAAGAGACAAAAGGATTACCTGAAGTTCAGGTTGAAGATTACTTCCCTGATCGCTCAACTTTCATTAATGATGCAAAAATTCTAATGAAAGAAGGTGCTTTTGCAGACAAAGAAGTTTTCCGTCTTAGGAAAATTGTGAGTAAACTTAGAAAGCAAAATCTTAATGACGAAAAACAAGACGTGGTATAATTTCTTCTTCCTGGTAGAAGTTTTTGCCTTACTGTTTCTTTTATTTACTTCTGTCTTTTTAAAACATCATTTTTTATGAGAGATTTTAAAATTGGAAGTCTCACTTTAAATGGTGCTAGAGATGGTCAGAAGAGAATGTGTTTGTTTGAATTTATTAAACAAAAACATATTGATGTCACTTTTGTTCAAGAATCACATAGTGACTTGAATAATGAGGTAGACTGGAAAAAAGAATGGGATGGAGAAATTTTTTTGAGTCATATGTCTTTCAATAGTGGAGGTGTAGCTGTTCTGTTTTCAAAGAAATCCCTGCCAATTTCTTGTGAAATGGAAGAAATAGTTAAAGGCCGGTTTTTAAAAGTTAAAGCTCAGTATGCCCCCACAAAAGGGGCTGAAAGAATTGCTTTTTTTATACAATTAGTGTTGCTATGAAAGACCTAAACCCTGAAGAATTATTTTTCCTCGGTGGAGATTTTAGTTGTACTGAGAATGATGAATTGGACAGAAATCACTTAGAGCCACATATCGCCTCTCAAAAAGCGCTCACACAGTTGATGAGAACATTTGGATTGGAGGAATGTGCATCACAAGAATAGACTGGATGTGTGTAATTATCAAGCAAATCTGGCCAGAGAATGTAAAATAATTCCTGTAGGGTTTTCTGATCACTGTTCTGTTGTTTGTGATTTTTTTTTAGTAATTCTGTGTGTTTAAAGAGTGCTTGTTGGCACTTTAATACATCCCTTTTAAATGAAAAGTTTATTGAAATGTTTTATTTGTTTTGGGAAAATTTTAAGAAACAAAAACAGTTTTATACTTCCTTACAACAATGGTGGGATTGCGGCAAGGTCCACATAAAACAATTATGTGAAGAGTACACTCTTAATGCCACTAAAGATATGGCCCAGTCAATGAAGATTTTAGAAAATAAAATTATAGAACTTTTAAATACAACAGAGGTGACGGTGATTGTTTTGATAGCAGCAAATCCAAAAAGGAAATGCTTGCAGATATGTTGGGTACAAAAGCTCAAGGGGCGTTAATACGTTCACGTTTTCAAAGCATCTCACAAATGGATGCACCATCTAAATTTTTTTTTCAATTTGGAAAGAAAAAACGGCCAAAGTCGTGTCATTCGTTCATTACGCTCGGACACAGGGAAAGAGCTACTGAGCCTAGTGAGATACGCAAACATGCTGTTGATTTTTATTCAAACTTATATAAATGTGAATTGTCTCAAAGAGAAAATAATGACTTCACTTTTTTTAACGGTCTTCCAAAGATTGATGAAGAGTCTAACATTAAGCTTGAACAAAATTTGTCACAAAACGAATTATATACCGCTATGATGAGGAAAGTGTCCTGGCATTGACGGGATTCCTGTTGATTTTTATAAACGTTTATGGCCAGTGATTGGTGAAGACTTCTTTTTAGTTCTTAATGACAGTTTGAATAAAGGATTGTTGAGCTGTAGAAGAGCTGTTATTACCCTCCTGCCCAAGAAGGGAGATCTCCTAAACTTAAGCAATTGGAGACCGATATCTCTGTTATCTGCTGACTATAACATTTTATCAAAGGCTTTAGCTACAAGGTTAAGTTAAGTTCAACCTCAAATAATACATTCTGATCAGAATTATTGCATACCCAATAGGTCAATCTTCGAGAACATCTCATTGGTCAGAGATGTTTTGGAGGTTGCGAGGCTATTTGGTGTAAATGTTGGTCTGATTTCGTTAGACCAAGAAAAAGCCTTTGACCGTGTAGAGCGTGTTTGAGAGATGTTTTAGAAGCTTTTGGTTTTAGTCGGGTTTTTATTGAGGCCATGTATTGTGACATTGAGAGTGTTGTCAAAGTCAATGGTGGTTTGAGTGCTCCGTTTACGATTCAGAGGGGAGTTAGACAGGGATGTCGAGCATGCTATTTGTTTTATAAAAGTCTTTTTTAAGCATGAATGGGCACATCTCTTTTCTGGGTGCTTGAGGAACCTGTTGTGTTTGGACGTCGCCTTGATGTGTCGGGAGTTGACCTTCCCGGACTAAAAGACTTGCTTGTGTCAAAGAAACTGTTGCAATTGAAAGACGTTGTTGAAAAAGCCGAACCTGGACTAAAAAATGCACAAACTGTTGCTACACATCTGGGAATAAGATCGGTGAGATTTGTTAGAAGTTTTCTGAACAAACTGGGTGGGGTTTTAAACTCCAAGGAAAAAGCTCTACTTGAGTTTAGAGCCAGACCGATATATCGGCAGACCGATATTAGGCATTTTCCAAACTATCGGTATCGGCAGTTATAATGGCTGATAAATCAATATTTCAAAAATAAAATAAAAACGGACGAAACATGCTTGAACCATGTCATGAGTGTTGGAGTTGTATAGTTTGTCCACCAGAGGGCACTCTACATCGTTCCTGTTGGCAACACTCGTTGAGTTGGGCACGAGACATACATTGCTTGAATAACATTTAAAAGAACATCGATCCCCATCAGTTCTCTCAGCTCAAATAAGCATGACAAAATTTGTGACTATCATGTCCAGTTTAAAATAAATAAATAAATAAAACATCGGCCGATATATATCGGATTTTAAAACCCAAAAATATTTGTATCGGTATCGTCCTTCGAAATCCTTTATCGGTCGGGCTCTACTTGAGAGTTACAGTACGGGTGATGATATTGTCCCTGATGATAACGACCTCTTCCCAGACATCAGAAGTACACCTGATCTGGAGGAATGCTCACATCATAGTCCTCTGTTGTGTTTGAATGCAAATGAAAATGTTGATTTTTGGACAGTTAAAGGAAAGATCTTATATAAATGTATTGTGAAGGTAATAAATAAACATACAATAAAAGGCAGAATTGACACAGTATGGAGAGACAAACTAGGAGTGGTAGAGGAATTAAAACCAGAGTGGAGGGTACTATACAAACCACCATTGACTAAAAGTAGAGAATACTGCATGGTGCAATCGCTGTAAACGCCTTTGTGGCGAAATTGAATCCCACTGTAAATAATTGTCCTTTCTGTTTAGAGAGAGAAACAATATTGCATTGTTTTATGAATTGTCACAGACTTTCTCCGCTCTTTGACCTAGAATTTTTATTCTCTTTATTAGGGATTTCTTTTACAAAGCAATGTTTTATATTTGGCGTCAAGTAAAGTACAAGTGTCAATTGATTAACTTTATTGTTGGCCAAGCCAAATTAGCAATTCATATTTCCAGAATAAATAAAATAGAACAGAGAAATGGGCAACATATTGTTTCAGTTTTTAAGAATATGTTTAAATCAAGAATTCTTGTTGATTTTAATTATTACAAGATGATGAATGCAATCAACGTTTTTGAGTTTGAATGTTGCGATGTTGTTCTATACTTAATAATGAGTTGTTTTTTATATGTGATTTAAGATAAAGTCATGTAGTGTTGCTGTGTTTTCTTTTGTTAAATAACAAATAACTGTTGTTAAATAAAGCGTTTTAAAAACTCAAAGTCTTTCTCTCTCTCACGCACACACGCACGCACGCTCTCTCTCTCTCTCTCTCTCTCTCTCTCTCTCTCTCTCTCTCTCTCTCTCTCTCTCTCTCTCTCTCTCTCTCTCTCTCACACACACACACACTCCACCCCTCGGGCACATAACGGTATAAGAGCGGTGATTCTCATGGCTCCTCCGTTAACCCAGCCCTCCTCCAGCCCTCAGTCCCCCGCACATGCTCAGATCTCCAGCGTCGCGTCTCCAGCGCGTCTCCAGCGCGTCTCCGGTGCGGCCTGTGCGTGCGGACCCGCCGCGGACACACACTCTCTCATGGAGCTCGCGTCTCCTCTGCCTTCGACTCCACCATGCACTTTAGGATTTCAATAAGATGTTTGTGTGTTTTGAGATAATCATTTTGCTTCTCTCCGGCAACTTCTGCGCCTTCGTTTATACTCAGGGTAAGTCCGCTTTTACTTCGCCCGTTATGCGTCTAGTTGTTTAATGTCGATAATCTGATAGTTTTACCTGTTGAAAACGTCGTTTTCCTGTCGATGCGTGTTGTTAAAAGCGCAGACGCTAATAATAATGAAGTAATAACGTCATGTTCGCAGTATAATCGCGAGTTCGGACTTGTTGATTCTGGACCGTTATTCGAGCACGCGTTTAGTGCTGGATCAGAGGTATTGAATTGTGTTTGCTATTATGGTTTGGTAATGAATTTTAAATCATAGTTTGATAACGATCTTTGTGCAGCCTATGCTCGATTCGACTGTACCGTTATATATTCCCACAACTGCTGAATTCATTATGCATGCTGGGTTATGGGCGATTAAGCTTCAGATTTCATATTCCAGTCAAAGCAACATCTTAATAAATGTGTTTTTGATAGAAGTATGATCCGAATATGCGTGTGAAAGAGAGTTTAGACTCTTTCAGATCCGGTGATTCGCTCATATCCTGTCAGGACCGCGGTTAACACTTTATAATAACTTCCATTAATCATTCATAAACAAGCATTAGGCTGTAGCTATAATAACACGCTGTGTGACTATGTTGTGCTGCATAATAGTAATTTAAAGTCGCTATTATGGCGATCTGTTCTGGGGATCTTTGACATAATTTGTTTTAATTTTAAATAATGTGCACTATTAAGAAAACAAGTTTTGCATTATTATTAACTTTTAATTCTGATCGTTACTTACAATCGACACAATGCATGGCAATATTTTCTCTATAGTGTAGAGTTGTAATGAAGTTAACAATGAAGCAAGGATTTTTGTAAAAACCAGCAAATAGTAAATAAATACTGTATTTATTCCTGAACAGATATATGAGATCAGTGTAAGTCATGTTGATGAACAGAATGGAAGAAGGTGTTGGAAACATTTGTTATTTGTCGTTGCCTTTTGTTGTGGGTGTCGGAATCCTCGAGTCGCTTTTTCATGATGTTTTGCTTTGGCAAAAAAATAAACAAGTTATAAAATGTCCTTCTGGCGTAATGTTCGTGTTGTTTATACCAAAGGAAACTTAAAGCCAGTTCTTTCATGTTCTATCAGTGTCACAGAGAGTCGAGCTGACATCTGGATTGGAGGAGCTTTGAAGTGTGTGTTTGTGAACATGTGCTCGGATTCCTCCAGTAAATAACACACACACGGAAGACATTAGGCTACTCTTGCTCTTACGCAGATAATGTGACCGTGCAAAAGTTCCCTGTTAACCTTCTGAACCTTTATTTACTCGTTGTTTCGCCAGTTTCTCCCTCGCACAGTATAAATGTGTGTTTCCTTCCTCAGACGATCGAGAGGCGTCTCGTGTTTTCTACCTATCTGAAGAAACATCTGCAACTCATTTAGGCTCCTCGAGCACGAGAACAGGAGAACCCGAGGTTAAAAACCAGTGTCTTTCTTCTAGTGCGGAGTCAGGAGTTAAGGCCACCATGTTTTTTAGTGTTTAGGAAGATTTCTTTGTGACGTACGATCTCCACCCAAACACGTGTCAGCCGTTACAGCCGTGTTCTCTGCGTGTGTCGTTAGATCTGCTCGGACTGGTCGTTTTATTGGGTTCGAGGAGCCGATGGGTTGGCGCTGCGAGTCTGGAACATCTGTGGAGAGATCCAGCTCCAGTCTGCCGGACACATGTAGGGGTGTAGAGCCGGACGCATGCCATGCCCACGTGCCTTTCATGTTCTCAGAGCCATCTGGCACTTTCATGTCACTGTAAGATATTCTGAAATATCGAGACGAGCTGATCATCGTAACGGACAGCAGTCGAAGTCGAGAGGGACGTTTAATTTAAGAATCCCACATGTCTTTATGAAGCGTATCTTTCAAAAACGTTTTAAAGACATTACAAAGTAAATATTTTCTTACTGACCAACATTTCGGCTAAACTAAATACATTAAGATATACATTTGTTCTAATCCGGCAGAACATCTGACCGTTCCTGCGAAGGAGTTTCCGTTTCACTAATGTAGGTTTGCTGATGTTGTACTTGAACATCTTTATGCAGATTCTTTCAGTCTTTTATAATCGTTTCAGAAAAATGTTCCCTGAACGAGTTGTTTTGAGAACATTACGGAGCAGATAGCGTTTAACGAGCGCTCTGTTGCTGTTCCTGGAAGAGTGTGTGTTGGACGTTCGCTGGGACTGACCGTTTCTTGGTCCGTTTATCTGCAATTATAAAACCCTCATTTAGTTTTTTTGCTGCTTTCGAAGCTGAAATATTCGCCACCACAGATTGAACGTTTGCAAACTCTTCAATCATTGTCGAATGTCCTACTGGAGGAGCCAATGCAGTGGTTTTGGGAAACGTTGGGAATGTTGTGGCTCACACGCTCGACTAACACTCGGTCAACAAGATTCGAAACTTTGGCTCAAAATGATGAGAGTGTTTTACATTTTATCCTTGTGTTTTCCCGCCTTGTCAATCCTTCCATCCTTCCTTGTTTATGTCAAATTTCCTCAATTATTAATGCACAGGAAATGACCTTTGACCCTCAGGCATTATTCTGAAGGCCCTGCCACACAGGAATGCAGGAGCCGGCAGAAGAAACCAGACAAGAATCATCCAGCATTCAGCAGTGTGTGTGTGTGTGTGTGTGTGTGATGTCTTCTTCACAGTCCTGCTATTGAAACACTTCTGGTGACACCCTCTCTTCTGTGACCGACCGAAAGTGAACAGGAAACGCATGTCGCCTCAAACTCAAACTCCCGTTTCCAGAAAACAATGGCACACACACACACACACACGCTGTCAAGATCCACCCTGAGTCATTCACGGAGGACCGTTTGAGATGAACCGTGATCAGTGTGACAGAACCCATGACTCTTGATGTCCGATGAAGACTCGGATGTCGTTAGCGTCCCGCTTCACAGTTCGATCTTCTGAATGTGCTCCTGCGGTTTAATGCAGTGAAAGCACAACTAGCCAAATGTTGCATGATTGAATATTGGTTTAATACATCTATCCAGCGCAAAGTGCGGGACGCTCCTCGAGGAAGACCCCAGCACTGCACGGCTGATGTGTGTTTAGTCTCGAGTCCAAGGGAGTGTCCGTTCCCAAGATCTCTGCCAATGGAAGTGGAACGAGTCGTTCAGGCGCGCCGTAGTTTGACCTTCAATAAGCTGGACTTCTTACTTTAAGACTCTCGGGAAGGGTGTATTCGGCCAGAAACAGTTTTCTGCAGACACACATCGTCAAGCGTTACTCTTGTGCCGTAAGTCAGCTTGTGCAGTCCGTCTGCCGCAAGATAGATATTACAAACTAGTTTTATTACAAAGTTTTAAAGGAGAACTCCGGCGCAAAATGAACCTTTGGTCTAATTACACATTGTTACCTAGTCAACCGTTATCTGAGATTTGTTTTCACGATTGCCGAATGTAAATAAACAGTTTACCCTATAACGCTAGTATATAGGGCATAGAGTAATGACAAATAAAAATCGCTTGTTATTACCACTAACAAGGCTCAAAATAGCCCCACACCAACACGAGTCCCTACATTCAAACCGAAGCGTTGAGAACTTTTATCAGTGTCCATACAGTTTAATAAGAAGATATTTTATACACACAGTCAACTTCGCGAATACAGGAAGAAGCCATCTTTGAAAAATAGTCTACCAGTCGATCTACGAACGCCGATCCACTTCAGAACTGGTCGGGATATTGTGCTTTAACTTCCAGATAAAGTTCCACGGTTCCTCAAGGACATTATTGTTTCCAAAGTTGCCTTGGATAAGAAGTATCTGATTAGCAACTAACGTAATTACTGTGAGGCAAAGTAAGTTATTTTCATATTTTACATTATTTTTATGAGGATTTTCTTTTTCTTTTTTTAGATGCATTAAGGAAAACATGAAGAATTTAGAATAGGTGTATTCAAATAAATGCATGAATGAATTGTATTTTGGGCTAAATTAGGGGATCTTTTTAGCCTTTTCCACAAGAGAAAGGACCTGAACTTTAGTCAAACTGCACAGAGACGCATTAACTACTGGATGAAGCCTTGCACGCGAGAGCCTGTAGCGGTGTGTATAGCGGTGTGTATAGTGGCGCACGTCTCCCAGCGAGTGTGTTGTTCCAGAGTCAGCTTGGTGTCTTGTGCTGTATTGTGAGGGCGCGAGTGTGTGTTGTGCTGTATTGTGTGTGTCTGGATCCCCACTGAGCGACAGCACATGCTTCTTCACAGACTGACAGGATTACAGCAGGCCTCTGTCACTCATGGCTTTTGTTGACTCTGGTCATTGTTTATTTGTACTCCATTAACTCCATCAATCCCTGTGTGTGTGTAGAACATCAGGCCGAAGGATCTGTGTGTGTGTGACATCATCTGCCTGCTCACACTCGTGCTGCGTAACAATAGGCATTGTTGAAGGAACTGCATAACAAACTCACGCTCTTCCTTTAATACTCTGCCGCTGCTTTGACGGATTGATTCTTCTTTCTCTTTATAATTTTTTTCTTTTAAAATGACATTTTATGTTCCCAGAGCTCCATGTTTGTCAAGGTTTTAGGACACTAAAAGTCATAATTCAGTTTTTCGTGACCATTTAACCCTGAAAACTTTAAACCCTCTGCTATGTTTAAAGTTTCAGAAAAGTTTGCAGATGCAGGCACTCATACGGTGTGTTAGTGTAGAGTTACTGAAATTCATGCCATTTTCAGCTCCTTTCAATAAACTGTGCAATGACGTTCAGTAACGTAATAATGAAACGTTCAGGGGTGCGTTTCCCGAAAGCATCGTTAGCCAACTATGGTCGCAAGCTGGTCGCAATTTCCATTAAACTCTATTGGTAACGACGTAACTTGCGACCATAGTTGGCTAACGATGCTTTCGGGAAACACACCCCAGTTCAGTTTGGTTTCTGTTTTGTTTCCATGGTTTCTGGAATGTTGTCGTTTGTTGTCATAGCAACTCATTGTTTGATTGATTTGACTCACCTGTTCCTTGTTCCACCCT